CTCCTAAATCTCTCGTACGCACAACTTAAGAACAAATCTGTGCGTACAAATGGTTCTTGCATGAGGCCCAATGTGTCGTGTAAATATTACATACTTACTGTTACAGAACTTTAGTAAGCAATCAGGAGTGCAAATCAACACTTCTGTCTTTATTTTAATGACACACCTTAACTCAACAGAAATACAAAAACACAAAAAGTTTAATTTCACCCTCCAGCAGTGGGGGATTTCATGTAGTTAACAATTGATTTTGATCCATTTCTTGTCAGTACTAATTCTGAACACAAACACAATGCCTTCATAAGAAGGCTATGCCAACATAGCCTTCTTATTTAAAAAGGAAAAAAAACTCACCAATGAAATGTTATGAGGTCCAAACATTTTCCACTACGATTGCTGCAAGCGAACGCTGCACAGTGACATGGCATTGCGGGTCTGTGTTCAATGGTTGAATYACTGTGTCYACATGGAGTCYCGTTTAGCGTACCCAAAGTCACGTGATAGCCCCTCTAGTAAATATACCTCATTGGCGCTAACGGCTGGTTTGAACAGAGCTAAGAACAAAATGGCCTCCTGTTCTCTTAAAACAATTTCATACAACAATGTTTTATGTGACAAACATTGTTTTATAAATCTTCACACATCCTGTTGTTATTCCAGCAGAACTARTGGAAGTGGCTCAAGCTACACCGGAATTGCTCCACTTAGCTTTAGCTCTTGCTAATAACCAWAACATTCTATGTGAAAAGCAGCCGAAAGCTAAATTGACTTCAATGTGACGGTTTATATAARAGTGTTTGCATGAGTTACCAAACATTTTTGGGACTGGAAGTTTTTTAGGAAGACACCCACACACTTTCATACTGGCCAGGATGGACTAGCCYTTAGCTCAWCAGTCCGGTCTGAACTTAACTCGATTTCAGCCAACTGAGGCTATGTAAAGAGCTACAGTAAGTAAGAGTATATTAAGTGTTCATAGCCGTTCTCTGAATCCAACTTCAGTAAAATGCAGCTGTTGCTTCAAACGGTCAGATTAACTGGTTTGTGTTGTGAATGAATTTAGAAGCTGCCTTGTGGGTACTCTGTCAGGATGTGATGTGAGCGCAAGCAGGAAACCCCACTCAGGATTTCCAGTTTTGTGTGTGTTGCACCGTGTTGATCTAACTGTTGTCCTCCCAGCCGTCACAGGACACAGTCATATAGGAGTCAGGGAAACTCACCACATAAATGTGTTTGTGGACACTAATATTTAGATCGTCACAGACCAATAAACTGCATTTAAAATATATATATATTTCTACTCAGAGCTAAAATTGTTATAGTTTTGTGTATMTTTTGATGACAAGAACACAGATGTCGCTGCGTGTCATGACAGATGTAAAAAGAGGGAGGTCTCTAAAAGCAGGATAGGAGGAGATTGGAGMGTTTTCAGGCTGAGTTGCAGCAGTGTGATCCTCCCCACCAATAGTGTGACATGCTCAGAGTCATAGGACTTTGTTGATTAGAATACAATAGATGGGGGAGTTTTACCACCGGGGATGAGGAACTTGAGTTTAATGCTCTAGTGTGCAGAAAGCTGAGCGTGGGGTGAATCTCTGATCCAGTAGGTGAGTGCAGATGGTCTAGTTTTAGTTGTTGGGTGTTTTACTTTGTTTTAGGCCTTATCTTCATGTGTGGTTTGACTTCTAAGGGCATTGATAACAATTCCTTTACACTGTTTTTTTGACCTAAATAGTAATCTGTCGCCTCTGTCAGTGRGCCCCWGGGCAGCTGTGGCTACAATTGTAGTTTGCCATCATCAGTGTGTGAATGTGTGTGTGCATGGGTGAATGTGTGTAGTGTGAAGCGCTTTGAGTGTCCTGGATGGATAGAAAGGTGCTATATAAGTACAGTCCATCTACCATTTACCATTTACCAATATAGAGTGCAGCTATGCAGGATTATTATTCTCCTTTAATTACTGAAACCTGACAGATCCACCCTGCTTCTGTTTGTCCTCCTCAGCAGGATGAAGAGTCTCCAGGTKACTCTCCTCCAGGTTCTCCTCCTGCCTTCCCTGACGACGAGCTGGAATCCGGACAGCACTTCCGTCGGCGCGCACACACCTTCAGCCACCCGCCGGTGAGGAAYCGCATCTCCTTCGAGGGCCAGCCAACCAACCAGAGCAAGCAGGCTCCTCTCCGCAAACAGCAGTCGGTCACTCCAGAGCTGCTGCAGGGCAGGTACGGTGACGTTAACCGGAAACATTTATCCGTCTCAGAGCTCAGTGTTTCTGTAGCTCAGCAGGAGTTGCAGGGGTTAATTTCTTTTGGACTTGAGTCAGATTTAGTTGTTTTCAAAGATATGTTGCGTTTCTTGTAATCACTTTAACACCCACTAAATCTTTAGTTGACCTTTTGATTCACACTGGAACAATGTAATCTATTTGCAGCTCTTTGATCAGTTCAAAACCTTTCACCTCCTGCTTCCACTGTCCTCGAACAATAGCATCACAAGTTTCCTGRCTCTGTTTGATCCCTCGTCTTTTTTATTTTWAATTTTTGTTTGTTTGTTTTTCCTGTGCTCCCATCAGAAACTTTTTTTCTCCCCTACCCCGTTTGTGTAACTCTTGTTTTTATTTGTGGGCATTACATGTTTGGCCCTGCGCAGTCCAGCACCTGTCTCGAGGACGCGCAGCGTGTCGGAGAGCGAATCCTCCTTCAGCCTCCCCTCCTCCTTTTCTGCTCCCACTTTCCTGAAAAGCTTTTACCAGGGCTCTCTGGGCTCCCTGAGCTCACTGGCAGACAGTGGGAACCTCAAAAGGTGAGAGGGAGTGTGTGTGTTCAGACCCCTCCCCCCCCTTTGCATATATTAAACACGGAAAGGGTTGACCTGCAGGGACCAGCTGATGTTTTGCTGGGATGGCAGCAGCCGGATGTTGGRTCTGGAAAGCTTCTAACACTCAGCTATTATGTCCTCTTTCTTTTCCTCAACTATCCTCACAAACATTTTATTCATTAATAAACAATTTGAAGCTACTTCCTTTTTTTCCTTCCCCCTGTCAGCTTTGCAGCCGGACCCAGCGTCTTCTTGTTTAGTTCTGAAGCAGAAGGGGATGCTGATACAGCTGTCGCTTGTTGGATTTGCATGTGAATTTAAAGCTTTTTGCACAGCAAATTCCCATGTTTTAACACTTTATTTATGCATGTTAAATTTTCTGACTGCAGTTAATTTCAAAACGGCATCATTTTCAAACTGCTTTATTCTTTAGTTTATTATGTTATGGAACACAAGATAAAGCTGAGCGTCAGTGCTGCCTTTAAGGAACATCTAGGTGGCAGAAAGTAAAGGTTAACATTTTCATTATAAATGAGACGCAGTGAGAATGCAGTGAAGKAGCTCGCTGTGGAGTATCACTCCCACTGGATGTGTCTTTACTCTGACAGCAGCCAGGCGTCTTAGTGTCAGCGCTGATGCAAAAAAAGCAAGGCAGTTTCTCTTTACAGCAAGTTGCACAGTATATAGGTAAGAATGTTAAAAAGCCAAATAAAAGGTTTCGATTTAACTCTCAGCACATTTTAAACACTGACTCTGTGACTCCTCTATCAGTTTAACATTAGAGAAGGCGAGGATGTTATTAAAAGAGGGGAAGCTACARGAGTACAACAAGCTGTGAGAGCAAAACAGTCCTAAGTGACATTTGCCTCAAGCCAAGATGACTTCCTGTTTCTCTTTGCCCATATGATGACTAAGCTTAAAACCAGCGGTATACGGTATTTTATTTTTTTGAGGATTTTTTTAATCATAACTTTTACTTTTATTTTGTTATATTCAAACATGAAAAGTCTACTTTTACATCTTTGCTTTCAAATTTAACATGTGGTTACACACTACAAATTTAAATATGTCTGGAGATAATAATGAAAGGTGTTATTTATGCACTCTAAAATCAAAAATGTGCAATTTACTCAACACACTTTTTTAGAATGTGTGTAAAATTGCTTTTACTTTCCCTATTTTTCTGAGCAGTCTTATGATTTTTATTTACTTATCAGCAACCAAAGTCATTTTCTCTTCAAGTATTTTTACTTTTACTTATTTTTTTAAGTACTTTATACACCTCTGCTTAAAAAACAGTGCAATCCTCAATGACATACATTTTTTTATTTAGTGGAAGAAAAAAAGTTAAAAGACCAAGTAACAAGACAAGCCTAAACTGTTTCAAGGCCACGTAAAAACTTTCATGTTCYGTTTTTTGGCTTTAATCTTGAATTTTATTTAATTAACGTGACATAGGCAGAATGTTACAAARAAATTAAAAGGAAACTAAGATAAAGAAAACCTACTTAAATGAGTAAAACAACCCAGTTTGTAGAAAAAACATGGTCCAATGTTATTGCACTTGGTACTTGTAATGTTGTGTAGAAAATACCTTTTATTTAACCCACTATCAATATTCTTCATGTTTAGATACAACATAAACTCATTTTTGTCATTTCTTGGACTGAATTTATATTTCTGGATTCTTCAGGGTGGTAAATATTAAACAAGACATTAGACAGTAAAATCAAACTTTTCCAGAAAAGCTAAAAAACATTTTCTTTTCTTCTCCTCAAACCATCTTCTTTTTCAGGTCAGACATGCATGCGCCTCGGCTGTTGTTTTATTGTTTACCTGCAGCTTTATTAACATAGATACTGGAAATCAATGTATGGCTGGTTGTTTTGCTAAAGTCGTCATTTGTCATCAGTCAGGAGACTTATTGTGTGAGCTGGTGTGTGTGCTGAAGCGTTCAGGAGCCTGCATTTATAAAAGGCTGCTTTAAACAGGTGTAATGTGACACAAGGCTTTTCCGTCAGGTGTCTCTGACACAGCGGTCTTGTTTTGTAGCAATGGGGAAGGCAGAAAACGAACCCTGTCTACCTGCAGCAATGACTCGCTGAGTGGAGGTCTTCCTCAGACCCCACGCAGAGTCTCCTGGAGACAGAAGATTTTCCTGAGCATTGCGTCACCCATCAACAAYCCATCTGCATCCATGCAGCACACAGGTGTGGTAACATAATCTTAACAACCATTCTGGAATAGACATTTCACACTCAGAATGTAGACATAGGTCTATATTTTAACATTTCATTGGCTTATTTTTGATATATTGAAGGGTTAAGGTGACATTTTGTTTGCCACAAAACTTTGTGTTCTCACAAACCCTTTCCATTTTGACATGTCCTTGTTTTAGACCACCCAGACAGCACAGAGCTGCTGCCTTTATCTCCRCGTTCCTTGGACCCTGGTTTGGACCCTTTAAGCCGACTTTTACCCTCAACACATTGTCAGCTGTCTGATAAGAGGCCTACAAGGACAGCAGCCGACTACAGGGCTCTCTGGAAGACAGCCATCCATCAGCAGATCCTGCTTCTGCGCATGGAAAAGGAGAACCAGAAACTAGAGGGTACGTTCTTTGTAACAAAAATCCTGTCTTGGTCACATGAAGGAAACATGAATAGAAGAACTATTATATGGAACATGCTTTGTTATATTCTGTGAATGCACTAATGCTAACTGCTGATTTGGGATAATACTAATAATGGCTAGAGCTCTACAACCTCAGCAGGGTCTTAGAGGGTGCATGGGAGTTCGTTCAACCAGTTTTCCTGTGTTTTGTGGACTTGGAGAAGGCGTTCGACCGTGTCCCTCGAGGAGTCCTGTGGGGGGTATTCAGGGAGTATGGGGTACCAGGCCCATTGAAATGGGCTGTTAGGTCCCTGTACGGCCGGTGCCAGAGCTTGGTCCGCATTGACGGTAGTAAGTCGGACTCGTTTCCGGTGAGAGTTGGACTCCACCAAGGTTGCCCTTTGTCACCGATTCTGTTTATAACTTTTATGGACAGAATTTCTAGGCGCAGCCAAGGTATTGAGGGAATCTGTTTTGGTGAACTTAGGACCACATCTCTGCTTTTTTGCAGATGATGTAGTCCTATTGGCTTCATCAGATCGTGATCTCCAGCTCTCACTGGAGTGGTTTGCAGCCGAGTGTGAAGCGGCCGGGATGGGATCTGTGCCTCCAAATCTGAGACCATGGTCTTGAGCCGGAAATGGGTAGGTTGCCTTCTCCAGGTCGGGGAAGAGGTCCTGCCCCAAGTGGAGGAGTTTAAGTATCTCGAGGTCTTGTTCACGAATCAGGGAAGAATGGAGCAGGAGATCGATAGGTGGATTGGTGCTGCATCTGCAGTGATGCGGGTGCTGTACTGGTCTGTCGTGGTGAAGCGAGAGCTGAGCCAGAAAGCGAAGCTCTCGATTCACCGGTCGGTCTACGTTCCTACCCTCATCTATGGTCACGAGCTTTGGGTAATGACCGAAAGAACAAGATCACCGATATAAGCAGATGAAATGAGTTTCCTCTGCAGGGTGTCTGGGCTTTCCCTAGGGTGAGAAGCTCAGTCATCCAGGAGGGACTCAGAGTAGAGCCGCTGCTCCTCCACGTCCAGAGGAGCCAGTTGAGATGGTTCATCTGGTTAGGATGCCTCCTGGACACCTCCCTGGTGAGGTGTTCCAGGCACGTCCCACTGGGAGGAGGCTCAGAGGAAAACCCAGGACACACTGGAGGGACTATGTTTCTCAGCTGGCCTGGGAACGCCTTGGGATTCCCCCTGATGAGCTGGTCCAAGTGGCTGGGGAGAGGGAAGTCTGGGTCTCTCTGCTTAGGCTGCTGCCCCCGCGATCCGACCCTGGATAAGCGGCAGAAAACAGAAGGACGGACGGACTAATAATGACACATCTCTGATGGGAAAGTTTTAGTTAATTGAAGACATAAAGTTTGCTATTTGGAAGACCTGTAAGTTTAAAAAAAAAACAGAGGAAGCACAAGAAGTGTAAGAAGCTGCTTCAAAGGAAACTATTAGTGTGAGACCCAGGTTGTCAAAAAARGTAATAACTTAATCAATCTAACATGAAACTATTTAGCACTTGATCACATTTTTAAATTAGCATGTTGCACATTACTGCAATTTATCTTAAATTTACAACATTCTTAAAAGGTAAGTGTAGTGTATCACTTTTCTATCCAACCAGGATACTCAAATTGCTTTAGACTACAATCTGTGCCTTCATTTACCCATCCACACAGCACTCTACTACATCTCTCTACAAAGCAAATACAGGTTAATCAGTCAATAGAGACTAATCCGTGCTTTAAATCACACTCATACACTGATGGGACGTCAGAGGCAGTTGGGATTCAGTGTCTTGCCCAGGGACACTTTGACATGCGTCAGAATAGTGGGGAATTGAATCAGCAACTCTRGCATAGAGGAACGACTCCCCTAACCAGTTGTTAAATCAGTAGAGAGGGGCTGTACAATAATTGGAAACTGTAGCTGGTGAAATCTAAACATGTTTTTCTGGCCCAGCGCTGTAAGGTTGGGGCACAGATTTATTTGCACACATGTAAAATTACCCCAAACTCACAGCGCTGGGCCATTTCCTCAGACTCTGAAGCCAGAGGGGTGTTCTAAGTGAACGGCCCAGTGCTGTGAGTTTGGGTCATTTTACATGTGTGCAAATAAATATTCAAGCCTGAGAACTGGATCGATTTCCTACCTTTAATTCAGGCTCTCAAATTGAACGTATTTCTTTTTGTTTTACACTCATTCTTCATTCAAGCTGTCGTTATTGTTTATTTTGACTTAAACGTTGCCTCGTATGTTCAGGATTTTTGAGTGCGACTATATTAAGAGTTTAGCAGTTGTAGAGAACAGAAAAGCAGAAGTTTTCTAATCAAAAGTTAATCTTTAGTATTAAACATAAACATGTTGACAATGATCAGTCTGTAATTGAAATGTTTTTATTTGAAGCGCTGTTACCATAGTTTGAGAAATAGCACATCATCTTAGTCAGAGCTATGAGAAACAGTTTTTTTTTTTTTTAAATCACACTCTCTTTTCTTTTGTTTGATACTATGACCTCAATGCTGGTCTGAGGACCTAACTGTGAATAACTGTTTTCTAAAGAAGGTAAGCACAGTAGAATATCAAAGGAGTCTTTGGGATTGAGGCAGAGGTTTTGCATGATTTTGGTGGCTGGCTGTTCCTCATTCACTCTGCGCATGTTAAGGGACGATCATCCTTCATGGTTTCTGTGTTGCRTTTATCCTTCTATGCCTCTCACCGCTTTGTCAGGGTAGCCTTTTTCACATCTTTAGTTTAATAAGGTCAGATTGGTGTCACTGGGCCTCATGTTGAAATTTCAGACTTTACGTTTTCACTACTAAGCACAGGTTGAAGGGTCTTTACAGTGCATCAAGAGGATTCTGTTTGAGAAAATGATGTTTGTCTTCTCTGGGTTGACTTATCTGTTGTGATTCTGCGATTGCATTGAAGCGAGCCGTGACGAGCTCCACATTCGCAAAATGAAGCTCAARTACCAGGAAGTGTGCCAGTGCTCCAAGGAAGCTCAGGCATTGTGGGAGAAAAAGCTGACCGCTCCAGGCAGAACGATGAACCCACAAGACAAGGAGGAAATATACCACGCACTCTGCCAAGGTAAGAGATGTGTGGAAATAAACAACTGAAGCATTGATCTGTGTCTGTGGTTGATCTGAGTACATGTACACATCTTTGTGCGCAGGAGTTCCAAAGAGCCGGCGCGGCGAGGTCTGGTTGTTTCTGTCCCATCAGCACCGGCTGCAGAACAGACTGCCCCAACGCCAGCAAGCCCCTGAAACCCCCTACCAAGATCTGCTCAAGCAGCTCACTGCACAGCAGCACGCCATTCTGGTGGATCTAGGTGTGCATTTCTAACCTGATGTCATCTTTGTACATTTTACTGTGTACTTTGTATTACACCATCTCAGTGGCATCAGAAACTAGATGTATTGATAGGCACAAAATAGAAGACATTCAGAAAAATTCAAGTTGCGCAAAATGCTTATCTAAAAATAAACTCAGCAGGCAGAAAATGTAAAGTAACAGTACAATGAACAGGACCAACCCTAGCCAGTTTGGTGTCGTAGGCAAGAATTTAGGTGGCACCAGAGGTCCAGAGTTGTACTCCCCAAGAAAATTTTAGAAATAAATCTATAAACCGAGGAAGCAGACTGAGAAATCTAAGTTATCTTCATCAATCTGAGTAACCAGTGACTATTCAGCAGACCAGTTCTGCTAAAAAAAAAACTCTGATGGTCTAAAAACAAAATCACTAAAAGCTTACTGTATTTGTGCGTGTATAAAAACTTAAGTCGGGGAGTGGTATTACACGGGAGGAAATTCTGACGGAATTTTTTGTAAATATTTACTTGTGAAGGTCTGTAACTGAAAAATTGTGTAGTGGGGAATAAATCATGATAACTTCCCCCCTCTGTCCTTCCACTTTATGTRGGTTTTTTTCACACTGGAGTCGGTTGGAGGAGGAAAAACTTTTTTTTTAATGTTAAGTGCGGGGCGAAGATGAAAAAAGACATATGTCAGGAGCACGTCCATGAGCAAGTCTTTAAAGCTGCTCATCTTGCTAATTAACAGCCAGCTCCTGCTGTTTTCAGTGTCATGAAGCTCACACAGCGTTTGCTCCACAGTCACAGGTGTGCACCAGTGCACACACACAAAATTTCGGACAGCATTTTATTCAAGATTCCAATTTTTTAGACTTTTTAAGCTCAAAAAATGGAGATTTAACTTGCATAAATAAAGTAYTTAAAACATGTCTGGTTTACTTCGGGCTCAGGCCTAATTAGATTCGAAGTACACAACGACTTTGGGCTCGGGCTGGGTCAGATTTTTTTATGCCCGATCTAAACTCTAATTTATGATGTGCTGGATGGACCGCACCCTTAGTACAGTATTTGCCTACATTGCTGCACCATGCCAGCTTTGACYGTGCGTATGAAATGTCTACACACCTTTAGTGAAATGTCAAGTTTATGATGAAATCTGTCAGATTGTGAGGGCATCTCTTGTGCYCAGCCTTCTTTAGGTCACACACAGATTTTCTTTCAAACTTAGGTCTTGTCCATTTCAAATTGTTGGGTTACTTTGATGTAAACCCTGATTCTTTATTAGCAGTCAGGTGTTTCATATTGGGAACAGCCTTGGTGTGACTAACCGTGGGAACTCCAATTTTGATTTCTAAGACTCGTTTATCCTCATTAACACTTTGAGTTCTGTTTTAGTTATTGCAGTCTGATCCAGATCTATGAAGAGCAGTTTAAAAGTCTTTAGTAAGCAGTACAATTAGAGCATTTTTTCCCCAAAGCATCTCCTTTTATTACATAAAAAATGATAAATGTCTCTCCTGCCTAAGGCCGGACCTTCCCCACCCACCAGTACTTCTCAGCCCAGCTTGGTGCTGGACAGCTTTCTCTCTACAACCTCCTGAAGGCCTACTCTCTGCTGGACACAGAGGTACAGAGTCTAATCCTCTTTCACTGTTAAGCCTGTCTTTTCTGATCATTAAACGTTCTGTAGACAGATCTCACACTGTTTCTTGGTGCACAGGTTGGATACTGTCAGGGCATCAGCTTTGTGGCCGGAGTTCTGCTGCTCCACATGAGTGAAGAGCAGGCTTTCGACATGTTGAAGTTCCTGATGTACGACCTCGGCATCAGGCGGCAGTACAAGCCGGACATGGTCTCTCTGCAGGTCGGTGCACAAATGAATCAGTCAACAAGCTTTAATGTCTTAGCACAGGGGTGTCAAACTCATTTTCACCGAGGGCCACGAGCGTTATGGTGGCCCTCGAAGGGCCACTTGTAATGTGCTTTGATGTTTCATGTTTAACTTTGACTAAACAGAGTTTTAACACGTCCTCTTTTAAACAATGATAAGAACTAAGTGTATGACTGACTAAATCTTTAATAAATACAGAAATATTATTAAACGTAAAATAAAAAAAGTTTTACTCACTGATGGGTTTCTAGTGAGTAGCTGCATTATGGCAGATTTAGTTTATGTTTGATGGTGACTTTAAAGCAGCTTATTTTCAGACATTAGTACTGAGCTATCCAACTAAATTGCTCAGTTACTTCAAGCCAACAGCTCAGGGACAGGAATTTTTTTAATTTATTTTTATTTAATTTATTTTTATAAAATTAATTTTGTTGCATTTAATCATAAATTTAGTTTACCATTGATATAAGAAACAAATTTCATGTTAAGTAAAAATTTTTTTTTTTTTTTTTGGGAGGGGACCCCCCTGGCGGGCCACACGGGAGCCTTGTATTTGGCACATGTGTCTTAGCAGAAATAAATAGGGCTCAGTGTGTTGTGTGCACTAATTTCTGTTGGGTTTCATTCTGGCAATCAAGTAAGGGTGCAAAACAAACCTTGGTCCTTTTTGAGCAGAGATATTAAACAGAAAGTTTAGTTTTATTTAAATTGATATCAATCAATCAATCAATCAATCAATCAATCAATCAATCAATCAATCAATCAGTCAACTTTATTTGTACCCGCAGGTAATTTTGGTTACAGTGAAAATGAGTCAGCTTCTATCCAAGAAAAAGCACAAGACATCTGAAATGGACATACAGTGGACACAACATGATTAAAAATTGACCAGGTGCTCATAAAACTCAACCACACTATTTAAGATAAAAACAAGATAAAATCAAATAGAACAATATAAGACAAAAAATAATGAAATTATTAACTAATGTTATGCATATTATGTTAACTTGAGTTTAAAAAGCTAATTGCAACAGGAACAAAGCTGATTTTGAAATGCTTAGTTTTACATTTTGGCACTAAGTATRTACGTCCTGATAGGAGGAGGCTGAACTCGCCATGCAGAGGATGAGACACGTCTTCCAAAATGGACCCAGKTAATCTCTGGACCTGCCAAGAGTACAGAGATTCTGGATTTAATTGCATCTTTACAGTCAATTTACTGGACCACCTCACTATTTGGTTCAGGGAGTTCTTATTTTTAAGAGAAAGGTGACCAAATCAGGACACTAAGCAAAAGGAAAAGGATGTGCTGTGTAACTCAAATATTTGATGAGTGTTTTATGAACGTGTAAGGCATTAAGAATCTTTCTTTATTCACTCTAAAAAAATCAGCAAGAAATTTGTGGAAATGATCATTTTTACTGTTAAGTATCATAAAAATACTATGATCTCAAGATGCTTTTATGCAAAAAAAAAAAAACGCTTTAAGCTGATAAATTCCATGTAAACCACGAATTGTAAAACATTGAACTATAAAAGGATGGTCCAGATTTTTTGATTGATTGATGATGCCTTTATTGTAATTGTACGGAGCACAATGAAATTACATTTAGGAACACCAGGACTTAAGTGCTCCGGCCTGGAGTTGGATTTCTGGCATGAGTTTGTCTCTGCAACAGATTTCATAYCAGTTAAAAATTCTGTGTTGTGGTTTTCAAACCAGCGTTGATGCAGGGATTTAACGGACACTTCATTCAACCAATAAAGAGAACCAGCATCAGAGTTTTACCAAYCAGAGCAYAGCAGGGCGGGTCCTGCTGCCTGCGAGCAGAGACAGACTGCAGGTGAAGTAATCAGCGTTTTTCTGACGTTTTTCCTGAGGGGTCACCTCGACCTGCTAACCTTACAGAACCCCCCACTGTTAGAACTGCACGTGAGCAGTTCACTGCAGCTGGGAAGATACCTGAACTGATACACCTTTACCCCCAATCCTCTGCCTGTCCCGACCTGCCTGGGACTATGGGTTCTAAAGTCTAACTTACTTTGTATTAAATGTTAATGTGATCGACGCGTCGTCATCATGTGCAACTTGTGCTCATGACCAAACTCCAGGTCCGAAAAAGAGAAAGTTCTTTTGTGGGAGTGCACTCAGTCTGTGTCTCTTACAGTGAGAGAGGGGGCTGCATCTGCTGTTTTTCTTGTTATTAGACAGTATTAATGCTAAAAGATGAATATTTGTAAACCCCAGATTACAACAAAGACATGTGCCTCCTTTTAAATTAAAATTTCTTCAAACCCACAAAGAACTATTTAATTCTACACAGTGTTTTAACAATAAGTGTATTGTKTGTTTGGTTGTGCTAAAACTTTATTATATTTAAAATTAGTGAGATAAATATAATTCATAAATGATCACATATGAAAAATAAATAGTATTAAATGTCTACATGAGCTKCTATCCCTTAGAATGAAATAGTCATTTCAGGAGATGTCAAACTGACAATTGAAATATTTTTTTCATTGATTTATATTTTATAAAAGACCCTTTTTAATATATCAAACAACCGCTCACTTTAAAACACTGACATTACTTTAAAGTAAACTACAGAAAGTTTTCCTTTAGAATGTTAGTGGTCTTGATGTTGCAGGTTAAAGTGTAAATTTATAGACAAAACTGGAGGCTTTTTTGTTTTAAGAGAACATATAGCCTCATGKCATGAATGTATTTAGTAGATGTAATTTTGTTGAATTTTTCCAACCAATTAACTTCACTAATTTGCAGATGTGGACTGTTATTTTCAGATATTCATAGCTTGTCTTAAATATCTGCAATTTTCAATTTTACACAGGATTTGGGCAAAATAAAGTGAGGTGATTATACAGWACATGATCTGTGTTACCTCCCGGCTGCAGGGTTATAGATTTATTACAAAGAAGGTTGACGATGACACGGCAACTTTGTGTTGAGTTAAAAAAATTAGTTCACCACAAAGTGAATCCACAAACAACGGAGCCCAATAAGGGCTATGAGCTGCACTTGTGATACAATTGATTTACCTTCAGGCTCTGTAGGGGAGCAAAACTCCACTGCCCCATTTATTTTGTGTCATTTAAAAGTGTGGATTTTTTGCACAGATTCTCYCCATTTGGCAAGAGCAACGATATGTTATGATTTCATTTCTATCACCTCCAAAAAAAAGTTTCAAATTTAATTTTTTTTTTACTTTAAACCCCAATTTTGAAATGTGGTTCTGTGAAAAGGGTTTGACTAATTACCTCACATGTTGCAGATAGCTCTTTGTTTAGAGAAAATGCCTGGAATGACAAGCTAATGACTATTCAAACCTGGTGCTCAGACGTAAGTGAAAAGCTGTAGTATAGAATCATTTAGAAGCGGTCTTCCTCCTTCATTGTTTTATTCTCTTAATGCAACYCATCAGCCATACAGCATGATGCTGCCATCACCATGTTTTACAGTGTTGGTACAGCTTTTATAACTTGAGTCTCAAAAGTTTCATTGCAGTTTATTCTAACACTAATTCATAAACCTTTTATAGTTACACCATCAGACATATTCTACTTTTCCTGTTGAAACTGCTTAATTCTCAATAAAATTACCGGAGACCGGAGTTGCTTAAAGATAGCTGCACTATTCTRTGGTCTTGACCTCACTTGGCTTAATCTTCAGCTTATCAGTGTTGTGAGAGTTAAACTTTGTTTAGTTCAAATGTCTATCTACAACAGGTAAGATATTYATAGTAAACAGTTTCAACAGAGCTCCACTTAAAAAAATATCTGAGCTTTTGCTTCAYGAACAGAACTTCATATTTAACATTCTTTCTTGCGATAAGATGATGCGCCACAGTGCCATACAAACTGTTGTGTAGCACTGTGCTGTCGTCAGCTTCAAAATGTGTATGAGTTTTGTTTTTATAGCATTTTTCACAGTGTACAAATAGTTTGTGTTTTCCTGCTTAAAAATAATACATGTAAATACACAAGTTTTAATGTAAGTATATGTAAACCTAATACCTTAGACATTCAGTAAAAATGCTCCAGTTTGTACCACTACAGGGGTAACTGCATATAGACTTTTACAATCCCCTTTTCAGCAGTAATCTGCCGGTTGTGAGGCATTTTATGTGGCTTTTACTAGTTAGCAGCAGCAAGTCTCCACCTCTCTGTCAAACCACACCTGCTCTGTTAGCTCCAGTTAAACATCAGCTGACCTCACCGGAGTTAAAGCATCAGCAGGGTGGTAATGTTTAATCTTCATCAAGGAACCATTTAGCCAAGTTTCCTGCTTTTTTTCCTTCACTGCACTTGTGGTATTGTCGAGACTTGTCTGAAGTTGGCACACGCGCGACGTTTCGGTGCTGTTTTGTTTTCACGAGGAGGTAAAGGTATGAGTACTCCTTTTTATTTTGGGAGGAAATTGTAAAAGCAGGCGGTCTAATTTTAGCCTGAGCTAACTTCTGCTTCTCGTTTGTTTTTAAACTTCTCTGCTTGTTCCTGTACTGAAGAGTTAGCGCAGCTTAACAAATGCGAGGCCTTAGTGCTTGTCTGAGCAAGCCCTCTGAGAAACACATTAGGAGCTCAGTGGGTGGATGGAAGCTCATTTTGTCAGTTTGTAGTTCTTTGATTGTTCTTAGAGATCCAGATAATCTTGTTTATTTGAGCCAGCATGTTGTGACCTGACTTTGCCTTATCTGTCTGATTTTTAGATTCAGATGTACCAGCTCTCCAGGCTGCTGCACGACTACCACCGGGACTTGTACAATCACTTCGAGGAGCACGAGATCTGCCCGAGCCTCTACGCAGCGCCGTGGTTCCTCACACTCTTCGCCTCACAGTTCCCCCTCGGCTTTGTGTCGCGCATTTTCGGTACACACCTTTAACCCCTGTGACCTATGTATTTACTCACTACAGTGCAAGGTTCTGCCTTCACATCACCCATTATAGCCACTGCTTCAGGTATTAGTTTATCTTAATGCAGATTTTTTTGTTTTTTGTTAGATTTTGCGTTTGCACAGGGGACTGATGTGGTCTTTAAAGTGGCCCTCTGTCTGCTGAGCAGCCATGAGGGGGAGATAGTGGAGTGTGACAGCTTTGAGAGCATCGTGGACTATCTGAAAACGACACTCCCGACACTCACACAAGCACAGATGGAGCAGACCATTGCCAAGGTACAGAAGGGCATGCCAAACATACACTAACAACAGTTTTCCAGATTATTTTATCAATAAATCAAATCTGTAGAGGTGGAGTAATGTCCCACACTTTTCTGCAGACAGATTCCTCCGAGCAAAACATCTGTTTTATCTCAGTCCGTGAGATTTTGACCATTAGACTATCTTAAAAATGTCCGCTTCTGAGTACAACTGTCGGATTCTGGAAGTGAGTAGTTGAAGGAAAATGCAGCATCCAAGTGGTTTCAGGATAAACAAACACTCATGAACTTCTGACCAATCACACAGTCGTTTCTTATGGAGGAGGGTAAAAAGTTCTCCTGGCGGGTTGTGACAAGAAGCAGTGGAAGAGTCGAAGCTGCGAAAAAGATGACGCTTTTTTTTTCATGCAGCTGCAACAATGACAACTGATTTCAGCTGTTTGGATGGAGCAGAGGCCTTAACACTCTAACAGCTGGCCCAGATGCTGCAAAAAATGACGGCCCTTTGTGGTTCGCCAGAGGTGGTCCATGCATGGGCCAGCACCAGATGAACTGAAACACAACTGGGCCAGTTCTTCCACATCGAGAGGAGCCAGTTCAGGTGGTTCAGGCACCTGGTAAGGATGCTCCCTGGAAGCCTCTTTGTGAAGATTTTCCAGTTGTGTCCAACTGGAAGGAGACCACAGGGAAGACCCAGGACAAGCTGGAGAGATTATTAGACTTTTTGCATTGTATAGCCCGGCCTGGGTTCAAACCCAGGTTCTGCATGTTTGCATTAGCCCTTATGGCCCAAATCCAGCCTGATTTTAGGAACCCAGAGACCTGTGGTTCTATTTGGGGTGGGCTGGTCAGTCCAGTTTAACATCAGCTACTGGGGGTGACATGATTAACTTTACTTGAAATCATTTGCAACGACTGTAATGATTTTTTTCACTCAAATTCAACTAAAGAACTGTTGCAAGCTACGAAGAAACAACAAGCTAACGTTAGCTAACATTAGCTTACCATGCTCTGTCGTTTTGCCCTCTCATCTTCAGAGTCTTATAGCTGGATGGTTCCGTACAGTCTTCACTACCTTTCCTACGAGCTCAATGCCGTCCATTGTTGTGTCAAAAACAAAGCGACATCCGATTCTTGTGTTTTTTAATATGACGATCCCCGCTCACATCGAGTTGGCTCTCTGCTCAAAGCAAACAGAATCAGGGCCGGGGTAGAATAAGCTCAGGGTGACTGTGGCCGGGTTGGGCCGGTACGATGCAAAAGTGCTGTATATGTCTCGACTGGCCTGGAGTCGTCCCAGAAAAGCTGGAAGAGGAGTCTGTGGAGGGATACATCTGATCAAACTGCTGCAGCAACGGGTGATTAAGCTCCAGCATGTTCAAGTGGAGTCGAGAACAAAGATAATTGCTGCCATTTTAAACCAGCTTCAATRGCAGAGCTAGTTAATAAACATTTACCCCATCATCTTATTTATTTATTATTTTTTTGCCTAGGAAGGTTATTTTTCAAATATTTTACAATATTCTTGCTGGAGGTGCCCCAGGCTGCTCGTTACTGTTATTTGCAAACACAGCAGCTAGCTGTAGCATTTCTGCTGCAGCCTAGGGTGCACACATTACTGTAAGTTTTTCTTTCCAAAATACACATCTACTGAGAAACTGAGGGATTGAAAGTTTTATAAAATAGTGATTTTGTGAATAATTGTCAAACTTTTCAGTCTGGAGTTGTTTTTAGACAGCAYTAATTCACTTCAATTTTGGATTTGCTTAAACAAGCTGTTAGTTTGTTAATCAGGGCAGAATTAAACTGAATAAAGAGCCTCTTTATTTGATGTGGAATTAATATCTCTTTAAAAGAGGTAAAGATCCCCTTAAAGCAGAATGATGTACGGTCAGATGCTGCTTAAAGCACTAATGATGATTTATGCCGCTGAGTGTAGAGAACGTCACACAGTTTTCCCTCAAATCTTCTATGCTGCACTGTTTTTGTCAAAATGTTTACGACAAAACAAGTATAATCATTCAGTGGCATCATCCTCACTCTGTGGTTTGTGTTTTATCTCCAGGTTATGGAGATGGACATCTCCAAGCAGCTGCATGCGTATGAAGTGGAGTACAACGTCCTGCAGGACGAGATCCTGGAGAACGCCGCACCGCTGCTCGACGACTCGGACCGGCTCGACAAATTAGAAAAGACCAACGTGCAGCTAAAGAAGCAGAACATGGAGCTGCTGGAGAAACTCCAAGTGAGGAAGAGAAGCAGAGTCACCTTTTCAACTGTTTAGATCTTTAAGATATCTATTGGTTGAGCAATATCAATGTGTGAAATTCAGAGGAAACTTTCAGTTTTAGTCAGTACTGAGTCTGAGTTGGTGTGTCAGACTGCCCATAGATGGCACTAAAACCTAAGCTGAAAGCACCCTGAAAACGCTCAGACAGCCGACRGAGAGCTGGATGTTCTCATGTTGCTTCGTTGTTTTAGTGAAGTGTGAATTTGTGAACAAGGACCTGATGAGCCTCAAGTTAACAGAAATATTCCACTGATCGGYCTGCTCTTGTACCTAATTTAACATGAAAAACAAGATGAGTCTTGAAAAGCTGGAACACATAGCTGCTACAAAATTTAACAAGTGATTTACAAAAGAAAAAGAAGAGTTAGTATGAATAACAAACTTAGTATTTCTTGAAGAAATGCGTCAGCCACTACTTTTAGGCCAGAGTTTTAAATTAAGATCATTTTATGCTGAGAAGTTTGAGACATTTCTATCCATATTGGAATATGATTCTGTAAGATCAGATTTGTCTTGTGAATGACTCAGTTACTGTCATATTAAATATTTGCTCAGTATCTGTAAAGATTATTGAGCTATCAACATTCTCCTTTTTGTTAATGTGGCCATCTTCAATTAGCTTGACTTCAAACGTTAATTAGTTCTGGATGCACATCCAACGATTACTTTCTGAGAGTTTCACTGAAGTCCATCCAGCGGTTCATGAGATAACTTGCTAACAGACAAATATAGATTACTCCATTAGATGTTAGGTTTTAAGAAAAATACTGTAATGAAATATGCAGTGCTCAGATTATGTTTTGAAGATGATGCCTAGCTAATAACAAAATTTTATCTCAATATCCGTAGAACTGGTTTTATTATCAGTTTATTATTTTTCTTAGTTTGCTTATCTGTGGCGGCCATCTTGAATGGGGTTAACTCCAAAAGTTAATCAGTTGTAGACGTTTATTTGTTGATTACTTTTTCTGGGCTTCCATCAAATCTAGTCTGTTTTTCACGAGGTAGTTGTGACATCAGACATACATCAGCAATAATGATTAATTATCACAACTGGCTACAGTTTTTACTCCTGTGATTTTCCTTCACCCTCGTTCCCAACGCCAGCGTCTGCTCTGCATCTGTGTTGACTGAAGTCTTCATTTCTGCATCCTCCAGGCCGCGCGGCAGAAAATCCAGTCGCTGGAGACGAGTGTCGACAACTTCCTCTCCCGGGAGAGCAAAATGAAGCACATGATTCGCTCCCTGGAGCAGGAGAGGGTAGCGTACCAGAGGACCATCGAGCGCATGCGTTTGTGCCTTCCCCCCGACGCCCTGACAGATGTGGAGATGACCCAGATCAAAACAGGACCCAACGGGAAAGCCAAAACCGCAGCCAAGAAGCCCTGATGGTAACCGGGGTGGGGGGGACGGTAGGGGAGGGGAAGGGTGGGGGTTTGGGAGAAGCAGACGCACAGGCGGGAAACTGAGACTGACAAATGAAGTCTGCCGAGTGGAAGGCTGCCGCACTTTCTTTTTTTCTTTTTTTTCTTTTTGCCCGTGCTGGAAAAAGTGCGAGCGTTTTGTTTAAAAGTGTGATGTCCCGAGACAAACACACTGGATGGAGTGTGTGTGGGGCGGAGGAGGAGGCGGGGGGGTGGGGGATTACATAATGTGTTTGCGGGTGGGAGGATGCTTTCTTGTTCTGGTTCCCGAAGTTTTCGAGAGAAGCTGCTGTTTGTCTCAGCTGTTTCACTGCCAGTTTCCAAGGTAGAACTCAGCGTCTGCACCAGCCTCCCAGATTAGACTGATCAAAAGGGAAACTGTTTCTGCCTCTAATGATTTCTAGCACTGCCTTYATGTTTTTACTACCTGACTCGCACCAAAAACATGCAGTAAACAGAAGGTTGGAAATGAATCTTTTTTTTTTAAAAAAAGACCTTAGGATCAAATTACAGCATTAGCAGTGGTTATAGAGAGGAAGATTTTTGCTGTTTTCAGATTTACCAGTGATGGAAACTCAGCCTCAGACGAGTTACGTTGCTTTCTTACATCTCCTTCACTTGAAATGCTTATGAATGTAATTTCGCCCCTTAAATAATTGTGACAATTATCTTTTTTTTTTTCATCACTGGGCACTTGTTTGCTTTTAATTTTCGTCTGATATAATGTGTATGTTTTCTTTATCCCACCGCCTTCACGTGTGAAATCTTTTGCACTTGTTMTATTTTTAAGGAGGAAAGTGTTTTCTTCCAAAGCTCAGGCAGAYTGGGAGGTTGTGTGCCTCTTAGGTTTCCAGTGTGACCAGCTGCACGGTCACCTCTCTTTTTTTAAGCATTACTTTCAGACAGCTACTCTGTGCTCACACTCCCCAGGAGTCGTGGAATAAACCCGTTTAGGGTGGATCTGAAGGTGCACACTTTAGATTAAAAACTTTTTGTCAGAGACAGCAACATCTGCTAATACGGCCTCCAAGAACAAGGAGCTCGRGTTGTCTCGCCCCACATTTTGCTGCTTTTTAAGGGTGATTTAAACTTAAAGTCGCACGTCTTGTTCCCCCTGCTGAGTGGGAAAAAATTGCGTCATTTCCGTCTGCTCTCCCCCAGTGACAGCCGTCGTGCCCCCAGTCAGAACTCTGCGACACAGACCTTGCGGCTCGGAGCGTGTGATTGGTTAGAGCTTCATGGATGTGTTTGTTCATGAGGAGCAAGCGGCGGTCCAACTGCTTGCTCCTCTGGCGGTCCAGAGTTGGACTCAGAGCAGCTCTTCCTTCATGTTATTTTGTTTAAAATGATTTTTTGTCTGAAGCCAGTTGTTAAAAGAGCTAGAAGAGCTGGTTTGATCCTATTGAACGTGAGCATGCAGCTGATGTTTACGTCTTTCTTTTTCCATCGCCACCGTTAACAATTTTTTTTTGTTTTTTTCCGCAGACTTTTCACCCAACACAACACTGATTGTTGAGTCGGGGTAAAAAAACATTATCCAGCCATCATTATTGTTGTTTTCCTACCTCACTTGGCAGAGGGAGGGATTATGATCATTTACGGCCCYCCGCGTCTTCAGCCCGTTTATACTCGGTCAGAAAAAAGATGTCAGATTTTTTGTCACTCAGCAGGGGGGAACAAGATGTGTGACTRGAAGTATAAAACAAGCTTTACATATTGGGGTTTGCAGGAAAACTTGAGCGCTGAGGTGAGCAAAGAGACAGACTAGGAAGAAAAACAAGGACTTGAGAACACTTGAGCCTCCTTGTCACMGAGTATTATATAAAATATATGCACACACACACACATACACACACAGTGAAGTGGCTGCAGATGAACTTCTTTTATATGTTTTTAAAACTCGTCCCTGATTCACTCGAGTTTTGTTTTAGTCCACCTCCATGTCTGCCTCTCCATTATCACCTTTTATCGACGGAGGCCCAGTCCGAGTCATCTTTAAAATCAAGCCAGTGTAAGTGTTTATCCATCTTGCTGCCCTTGGGGACAAGTTGTAGTGACACATTTGTGTCCATTTTCAGTGGAAAGTTTTTACTCTGAAACTTTAATCCAAGAGGATGTTATCATTTGGCAGCCAGCTGCAGCGCACACACCCTCTGAACTTGGTGCACTTTTGTCAAATCACAGCAGCTAAAGATTTTGTGGGCCTTGTAAATACCTGATTTCTGTTGATTGAGGTGTCATCGTTAAGAACTGGATTGAAACATCAAACAGCTGATTTWAAAAAGTCTGTTGATGAATTCATGCAATGTATTTTCTGTAACTATAGTTTTAATGAAGTCATGTAGTAGAAAAAATTTAACTGTTTTCCACCATGTGTTTTTTTTTTTTTTGGGGTGGGGCCCTAAAGACAAAAACTTGACAAGATACCAGAACTTGGTAGTAAATATTTGTAGAAATCGGTTTATTTTTGTGCCAAACCTTAAGGCCTTRACTGTGATCAGTGAGGGTTATTTTTTACTTTCACATCAGGTGTTCTGAGTCCTGGTTATTAAAAAGTGCTTATATCACTGTGCTCAAACCTGAGGGCTAATGGCACAAAATAATCAAATCATGTTCCTTTAGCAATTCATGTAGCCTTAAACTGAAATGTTCTGGACGTGTGAGGTTGTGTTAAAGGCCAAGGTAAACGTGGACAGTTTTTAGAGTCTATTTAAAGGTTTTTCCAGTCCGTTTTTTTATGCTTTTGGCAAAGAGAAATACACATAAAAACCTTGGTCAGTGCTGTCTTGAAAAGAATCAGCCTTGTAAAATTTCTGAATTTGCCATAATATTGTAAAATAAATAAAGTTTAATTGAATGACTTGACTTCCTTGTAGTTGCTTTTAAAGCTAAGTGAACTGGTGAACAGGTTTGGAA